CAATATTTCTATCTCTACATATCATTGTTTCCATGTCTAAATCAATGGATACATGTTGGCAAGAAACTGTGTTTTCTCATTTGTTGTGTTGATTCCATACTGTGCAGCCATAATCATATATTCATCCATTCAAATGACTTGCTCTGCTTCCCAGTATTGGTCATGGTGAATCTGATTACTATAGACTCATTCATGTGTTGTCCATGTACATTTCTAAAGAGTTTTGGAATGGAAAATACTTCTCCTTCTGAGATTAATTTGGTCGTGCCCACAGACATAAGCCAGATATGAGCTGGTGTAATTCAGTGGACTTCAAGGAACTATGTTATCTTGCACCAGCTCAGAACTGGATACCTTTTTTGGCTTGTTGGTATGAATGCAGTGTCTAGGAGTCCTCATTATAGATCAGGACCCTAGAGAGCTACAAGATGAACATAACAAAAAGACAGTTTCTGCCCCAAAGAGTTGACAGTCTGAGTTTGACAAAACAGAACCAATAGATTCAGACAGACCTTTTGGGGGTTTACAAGGAGAGAAACAATATTGGTCAGTATGATAGGCAGTTACCTTCTTTTGTTTGTCTAATCCAGGGGTGGGCAAGACATTTTGATTGGGGGGGTTACTCCAAGAATTTGGAAAGTGGTCTAGGGCTCCACTCTTCTATGATATGGAGGAGATTTGGGGCCCGTGATGGAGGTTAGGTGCGGAAAGGAGCTTGGGGTAAGGAAGGGAGTTTTGGGTGAAGGAGGCAGTGGAGATCTGGGGTACTGGCCTGGGATGCAGGGATTTGAGTTATGAGCTAGGGCAGTAGGAGACTGATCTGAGGCAGGGGATAAGGGTGCTAGATTTGGGAGGAGGTATGGATACAGGACAGGGACAGAGGATTTGGGTATGTGGAGTAGTGGGGTGAAAGTTGGGGAAGAAAGGGTCTTGGATGCCAGATGTGGGCTCTGGCTGGCAGACTTACTAGCCAGCAGCGTGTTCCTAAGTCAGCCTCTGTGCCTGCCCCACACCCACACTGGCTGCAGCCATGTGCTCTGTGAATAACTACAAGTCCCTTATGCTTCATGGCTGCCTGTTATTGAAACAGGCAACTTCCATTGGCCAGTTTCTAGCCAGAAGTTAGCCAATGGGATTGTACTGTAGTTGGGAGCAGCTCCTAAAGCTTTCCCCATCCCCTTCCATGCTCAGTTTTTAAAGTGAAACTGTCCCACAGCTGTGTTTCTGAGCTGCATGCGGGTGGGGTGTGGCAAGCGGGGAACTTGCCCGGGGCTCTCTGCAGTGTTTGTAGACCAGATCTGGTGGCTCAGCAGGCCAGATCAGGCCTATGAGCCATAATTTGCCCAGGTTGGGGCTAGTCCCCAAACAAGCCTTGAATCTAATTGTGTTTTTTCTCAAGTAATTATAACAAATACGTTTATAACAGGATCATATTATGGATTGGGGGGTATTTTTTAGTCCACTCTTGTCTTCAGCATCAGTCTGATTCATACATATTTTCGCTTAGTGTACCATTGGCTAATACAATACTTTCTGATAGTCAGAACATGATCACCAAATTCCTATACAGTTAAATCTTGTCTATCAAAGATTACATCAGTCATATCGTGAATATTTGTCAAAAATCACCTCGCTCTACTGCTATTTAGACTGTAATGGGTCTGGCAATTTTAACTGAATATGTCCACTGATTGTTTTCCAAGAGTATGAATGATTGCATGAACTAATTCAAAGAATGGCTAGCAACAAATCATGTGGTGTTTAACTCACCTTTCACCTTTAAGTAGCACAGTAAATAGGGAGTATTTCTTCAGTACCATTCCACTATGTTGTTGGACAATGGAGTGAATTTTAGAATCACAAATAGATATCCAGCCACACACTATGTGTTTAAGGACTGCTCAAATACTTTTTTGAAAAATATTACTTAGTTATCTTAAAAGTCTCAGAGGGGGAGGCTGTTAGTCTGTAACTTTTTAAAAAAATGAGTAGTCCCATAGCACCTTGGGGCATGTCTACACCGAAGTGTTACTTTGAAATAACTAGGTGAGCATTTACACAGCAAACTCATTTCAAATAATTTCAAAATAACGGGCGTCTTATTCTGAAATCTGTAACCCTCATTTTATAAGGAAGAACACCTATTTTGGAATAGTTATTTCAAAATAGGGCATGTGCAGAAGGGGCAGTTGTGGTTAATTCAAAATAGGTGGTTTCTAGAGCTTTCCACAATCTGAGCCCCCCACTGTTGTGAGCACAGCTCCAGCCAGCTCCCAAACTCCTGCTTGGGGGTGGAGGACAAGGGCCTCGTCTTGGACTTGTGTGGAGATCCTGGATCTCCTAGAGGTCTGGGGGGATGAGGTGAACCTCCAGGATCTCTGAACCAGGCACAAGAATACCAGTGACTGGATGGCTGAGAGCCTGGCTACAGCGGGGGACAGCAGTACCCAGGAGCAGGTGCGGATGAACGTGAAGGAGCTCAGGTAGGCCTATACCAAAGTCATGGAGCACAGCTTCCACTCAGAGGTGGCACTGCAAACCTGCCAATATTATTACCAGTTGCACTGCATTCTGGGAGGGCAATTAGTACTGGAATTGGTTACTTAGGGAGGTAGTGGAATCTCCATCCCTAGAGGTTTCTCAGTCCTGGCTTGACAAAACCCTGGCTGGAATGATTTAGTTGGGATTGGTCATGCTTTGGACAGGGGGTTGGGCTCGATCTCCTGAGGTCTCTTCCAGCCCTATGATACTATGGGCCCTTTTCTCTCCACTCCGCTAATCTGAGGAAGTGGGTTTTGTCCACAAAAGCAAGTGCTACAGGACTACTCGTTAGTTATCTTAGTTGGCTCAGGGTTGGGCTAGATCCCCAGATGGCGTAAAATGGTGCTGCTCTACTGATTTCACTTTACACCAGCTGAGCTGTCCAGTGTGACTAATCAGAAAGTATGCTGCAAGACTTCTAGTGTCTGTAACATTAACTTGATAGCATCTATGTATAGGCTTCAGAGTCTATTCTGTTACATGCTAGCAGTTTTTGCAGTAGGTTAAAAAAGATGATAGTATATGGACATTGCTCTATATACTAAAAAGGATGAAAGATGCATGCCTTTTTCATTTACACAATAAGTACTGATTCTAACCTTCAGTCCTGAATTGGGACATGCAGGAGCACATCAAAGAGTCTTTCAGGACAAAGTTGAAAATACCTCATACAGCATATAAAAGGCTGGACTTATGCCATTTGACACCTGTTTGTATCACATTTCTATTCTGAGAAGGTGGCTTTCATAACGCTATCATATAATTTATTGAAAACCTCTCTAAGAGCAAAGCATATAAGCATAGTAATGGCCTTAGATGTCCAAGTAATTTGTCAATAATTATTTCAGTGTTTTAGCTCAGAGCTAATTTTGTTTGCCAACAACAGTGTCTTAATTAAATCATTTTGACTAAATAACATAGTGTGAAGAAAGGCTTACTTTCCTTCTGGAAAAATTGAATTTAGAAGCAAGCTCCATATTCATGTTTTATTTACAATAGTAAATGCACATTTTTCATCAATATTTTCTGACAGGTTTGTATTGGATTCAGGCCCAGAAGGTTTTCTGCGATGCAAGGTTTCCAAAAGCTATTGTTTTAGTGATTTTTCATAGTGTATTATAAATGGCTTGTTTTCTTTACTGATTTCTCTTCATTTCACTCTATCTGAAGACATGCTCTGCAGATTAATGAATTCCTACTGGGTCCAGCCAGGGTTAGCATGGCCCTTCGTGAACTGTTCTTGTGTTTGATGTGGCTGGGGACTATATCTTTGAGTACTTCACATTTGGAACTAAAGATTTATAATCTGTGCTGCCTTCATTCGCCTTTCTGGCATAAACACACAGCATGGTTCCTCCTCTCCTGGTAATAAACAACATTTAAGCTATAGCATTTCATTTTCAACCATGTCTTAGTAGTTTACAGTACTTAATGGTTTATATATGAATGTGGGTTTCCTAACTTTTGACTGATGATTATCTTTGATATACAAAGAGAACTATGATACTGGTACCTTACAAAACACATTAATATGATGTATGGCCTAAAAGGAGAGGGGGACTTACAGCCTTAAAGAGGTGGGGAGGGGAGGGAGGGAGAGAGAGAGAGAGAGAGAGAGAGAGGCTTTTCAGCTTTTGCTATTTATTAAGGCAGAGAAACATATCAATACCTTGCAATTAGTGCAGTTAATTTGTGTGAACCAAAGCTGACATGAATGTGGAGATCTGGGTGGTCTAGGGGACTTTTTAAAGTTCCCATGTTTGGCCTAATACTCTCCTTATTGATACCTGTATGTGTTCTCCTATTGCAATCAAGTTAAGTGCTTTTGAAAATCCCATCTCATATATATAAAAAAATTATGACAGCGATGCTTACAAGGGGTTTAATATTGTACCTTTGGGGAAAGTTAATTGATTAACTGTTAGGAAGGCTAGCCCTGTAATTAACCTAATCAGTTGGAATTCTGCAGATCTGAATTCTCTACTTGGTTCTTTCACTGAATCTGTGCATTCTTTATCAAATTGTATATCTTTTTGCTTCATTCCCTAATTATAAAAAGGAACATAATCCTACTTCCACCACCATCAGTCAGTTTCAGTACTTTAGACTAAGAATCTTGAGGCATGGACTGTTCCTTATATACAGGGCCTAGAACAACAGGGGCACTGGTTTTAACTTGAGTTTGTAGGCACTATTGTGATACAAATAATAAAACAATGGAAAGGGAAAGATGGTATTTTGGTCAGCTGCCTGTGTTGTGCCAGAATGTGTAGCTTTTTTTCTTGTACTCCTGGCTGACATTAAACCATGTCACCTGCAAGTACAGTGCTTGAGCCATAATTATAGCTTTTCTTTCAGCTCTTTGCTTCTGAGTCACAGTATTTCTGAGATGCTAATTTAATAATATCAGAATTTCTACTTATGGACTAAAATGTTTGCATTGTCCTTTGTCTCCCCAGAGAGTTGATGTGCTGCAGAATGAGTGACTTAGCTGCACAGTACTTGGAGGAAGAATGACCAAATGGACCGTTTTACAAGGTATTCAGAAACAATAACTACGAAATGAATGGTAAGAACAAGAAGATATTTCTAACTGGTATTGGAAAAATCCATCTGTGACTTAAATACATTGGGAGCAAATTGTTTTGCTTTTGTAACTGTTTCACCTGGAATGCTGCCAGAGCTAATGCTAGTTTGGGTAAGTGGTCATGTAAGAGCCAGTGAGGCATGTCAAGACCGTTTGGAATAGTATACGATTTAAATTTGTGTACCAAACTTTTTTTTTAAAGGTACATATAGATATATATATATAGAGAGAGAGAGAGAGAGAGAGTTGTATGACCAGGCTGGGCAGTGTAGGTTGGCTGCAAAATATTAAAATGAACAGTGAAGTTACACTAATGATATTAAACAATTGTTACTATTTGATCGCTCATTCTAATAATTCACAGCCAAAGCACAGAACAATAGCTTATCGACATGGTCAATATTTATGTAATCTATTCTAAAATCTTACTTAATCTCAGTTTTCTTTCAACTATAAGTGGCAATGGTGGTCCAGTTGGTTTAGAGGAAATCTGCGTTCCTTGACAAAAATACTACTACTAATAAAATTGGCAAAAGAGTCATCAATTGACTTGCAGAGAGTATGACTAAAATATTTTTCTTAGCATTTCAAATTTGCTCTACATATTCAAACTTTGTAAGGTCACAAGGTTCATAAAGAAATAATTTTGGCATAAAATAAAGTAAATAGTGATCTGTGTAATTCTGGTTTTAATTAAGTATTGTCAATTATTTGTTTAGTAATTTAAAAAACACAAGGAACAGGAGAGCAAGTTATTTGTAAAGAGCTACCAATCTTATTCATGCTGAGTGCTTTCTTCCTTAGTGCATAGTCCCACTGAATTTAATGGGTCTGTGACCAGTAAATTATCACTCAATGTAAGACAGGGTGGTAGAACTCAGCCCTTAATCTACTCCATGGAGATCAAATCAAATGACTTTGAACTTCAAGATTTGCATAATTATCAGGTTTCTGATGTTGACTCAACTCTACAAAATGTGTTACCTTTAGTTTGACAGAAATTGTCATTAAAGAATCACTGTGGGTAATTAAGCTAATAACTTAGTTCAGCACACCCCTTTACTTTGCAAATATCCATTATGCAGAATGTCCAAATCTGTGTGCATAGCTCTTACATATGTGACCCATAATGTTGTTCAACAAAGGAAAAAAGTCAGAAGAATGACACAGGGTTTTTTTCCCTTGAAATGTGGGCATATTACATTTTATTTTAATTGCATGTTTTGAAGATAAATGCAGAGATTTATATGCCAAATTTTCTTTAAGGTAAGCTAGAGGTCTAGGAACAAAAATGTGTGCATCCATGCACACAATTTGCATGCATAGTAATATTTCCATATACAGATTATTTTCAATTTTGTTCGTGGGTCTTAATGAATCTGTGTTACTTAGTGCCTTTTGTAAAATGTACTGAATAGTGCAATAATGTGTAATGGTGTAGGCAACTGCTTTGAAGAGCAACAAAAATGAAAATCCAGAATACATTCCAAAATGAAGACTGAATCTGTCCTGCTTCTGCTTTTGATTCTTTAAGCTATTTCCCAGGCTCTCTTTAAAACTTTGCAGCTAAGTTTACTAGACGCTTCTTTATTTATAAATTCAAAGGAGTTACAATATGTGGGTATCCGAGTTTGGTACTAGCTGTATTTTTGACCTTTCTCTATCTCTCCATGAGTTCCCTTCCCAGTGACAAGCCCTGTTCTTTCACTTCTCTTTGTGGATTCTAGTACCTTTAGACCTGTCTATGGCATTGTGTTGAAACATCAGTTTTCACATTGAAGGGATTTGTGGGAAGGGGAAGCAGACAGTCTGTCTCTCTGATTGGATGTACTACCTGGAACTCAGAAACCTCTCTGTTGAAAACTTAGTAAAAAATCGCTATGTCACCATGAAAGATTTTGGCTTTGACAAAACAGCATATTGTGATGAAAAACTATTTAGCTGAAAAATTTCCAGCCAGCTTTGGTGCCTAATGAGAATTTAAATGTCTGTATTAACCTTGCTGAGCATTTAAGCAGGATCCTTCAGCAATTGTGTTCATTTATCAGTGTTCAGGCGGACACTGAGCAGGATAACTGTGGAGTAGCTAGTTATTGTCAAGCATTCCAGGAATGGGGAAATAAAAAAATGAACCCTTCAAAAATTAGTGTGTCCTCAGCTCCTGCCCAAAGACAGACGGGAAAAATTGCAATGCATTTCCTCCCCAGAACCAAAGCCTCCTCTGCCTCCTGAATATTAGAAATCAAAACCACCTCCCACATTTTCCTAAGTGCTGAAAACATCCAAGTAAAACATGGGAGTTTGACTATTTCTCTTGGGTCTGAAGCTGCAGGTCTGTAATGTGACAGTACAGTACCACTTAGTTCAAAATGAAGCTATCAGTTCTGATAGTGGGTAGTTTCCTAGAAAACATCCTAGTTGATTTTCATGTAGAATATCTTCAGCAGCCTGCCTTCCTAACTGTCCTTCACAGCATGAGTCCTAATTCTGCCATGTAGAACCAGGCTTCCTCACAGTAGGGGTGAGAAAATGTGCATATGTAGCTGAAAAAAGTAGCACAGAGTCCCAAATCACTCTAATCTCTGCAGGGTCCACTTTATGCTTAACGTTTTTTTTCTTTCTAGCGGTTACAATATACATTGACATAAGAGACTTAATGCACACATTGAGAAAAGGAACTCTGAAATTAGGAGGGAAATGGGAGGAATTTGGTGGAATGCAAAGCAAAGTGAGGATAGTTGTGACATTTCAAATTAAATAACTTCCAGACAACATTTGATATACTGTAGTTTCACAACAGTCATACATCCAGCTTTGTCATAAGAGGAAATGTTTCTTTTCATTAAAAATTAGATGTGGACATTTCCAGAAAAGCATAGTTTTAAAAAAGATTCAACAAATGTAAACACTTCCTGGGCAATAGGGTATATATAGGCCTGTGAAAAGGGGCTTCTCCGAGCAAAATGTGTTTATTCACCTAAAATTATGATTCAGTACTGCCAACATTAGACATTCATAAATCAAGCCCAGCTTAAAAAAATCATGTTAATAGATTTTGTATTCTTTATCTTTTGCTGTTTGCTTTTGGAGCCTTTCAAGTATACTCTGGTTATATTTTATCAGCTTTTCGCCCCAAGAAATTTCCTCTAGAAGCTTACTCTGTTTTATTATTTTTTAAATGAAAGCTTGAGTTTCACTGGAATTTAGAAGCTGAGGTGTTCACAAAAACACCAGATATTTTGAGAATTGTGATATAATTGCAAGAGTTGGCAGTACTGGCAAACAAATTGTGAACAGCTACTATTATTCTGAGAGGAAATGCATCTAAATAAAATACCAACTCAAAACAAGTAGTACTACGTAGCAGAAAAGGTTGAAACTCTGTGGTCCAGGTCACTTGGGTTCAGCAACATCCATGGTTTGGAAGGATCACAGATGCTGCTGGACTAGAGAGCTCTAGAATGGAGGTTGCCAGCTGCTGGGAACAGAGACTGCTGATGGGACACTGGAATGCAAGGGGGGATGGACGGCGGAGAGAACAGCAGAGCTCACAGTGGGCCAGGAAGCTGGCAGGGTCTCCAGAGTCCCACAGGACAGTGGGGCCACAGATGTTGAGGCTGGGAGGGGGAGGTCTGCAGAGTCCATCTGCAGTGCTACTGCAGCCAGGGGGGCAAGTGCAATGGATCCAGGTAGCTAGGTATAGAAGCCCAACAGAGAGACTGGCATCCTACGGTTGGGTCCCAAGGGAGCTGAACCACGGTGGTGATTGTGGGTATAAATGTTTATTTTGGAAACATGACTTCTTTAGTCTTAATCCTATGGTCATTGTATAGATGTCCAGTGAAGTCAATAGGAGTTGAATAAGGATAATAGCAGTGATGAGTAATAGGCAGTAATACCAGTGGATGCTGGAGAGGACTGTATAATTCAGTTATGACTGGCTGATTGTACAAGAACGTGTTAATACAGCAAGCCATGTAACTTAAGCACATGTCTTGTAAGAACTAAATTAGGGCACTGTCCAAAATAAATTGTGGTAGGAGTGAGTCACCCAAAACAGGGGGATCCCTCTCAAGCTGGGAGAGCATGGTAACTTTCTCCAAGCACATGCAAGTGCTCCTCTGTTGTTGCAAAGATGGGGCAGAGTCCAGATAATGCCTTCTCTCCTCTCCCATATACTCCTCTGGTCTACTGTGTGGGACTTCATTCTACCTGGCCTTTGCATAAGATAGCTCTTGGTGGCTGTGTACATACACAAGCTTCACATTTTCTCCCTCCACCAAGGCTGCAGAGCCGAAGCCACAACTTCAGAATCCTAATTTTAGTGCACTAGCATGAATCCTACAAGCTCAAGTCTGTCTACCTGAGGTTGAGGCTCAGTCGTACTTGGTCAAAATACCATGTTCTGCTAAGCACTGTTAAAATACACAAAAGTGGTCTTTATATTTTACCAGAACTTAAATGTTAAATAACCTTCATCAGAGCCACCAGAGAGCTCAGGCTGGAGCCTGCAGGTAAGCAAGAAAGTAGAGCGTGCTTCAATTTCCACCTGACAGTGGATCTGTAGCCACTGTGGGAAGAGTTGTTGCTTGCGCATTGAGATCTTTTCTCATACTATTGCTAAGCATTACTGAAGGACGGACTTTGTTGTGTCTCCTTTCATCTGTCAAGATTTGGATGGCATTATGCAAAGATACCTAATGGAAAAAGATTAGTAAGTGTTAAAAGGGATGGAATTAAATACAATGGAGCTAGAACATAGAGATATAGGGAAAACAGATATTAAAAGAAAGTGGAGATTAAAAGTCAGTATGGTGAGTTGTAGTACAACATGGCCTTCATGCTCATTGCTCACAGATACCCTGTTTACAAGCTGAAAGGACAAATGACCGCTTTCTGCGCAATTGTCCATTCATAAAATTCTTTTTCCAGTTTTTACTCAGTTTTTTGGTTGAGTATTGTACCGTACTCTGTATTAGAAA